ATAAAAAGAAATGAAAAGGAAAATTCATATTTTTGGTAAAAATGTATTTTTTCTTCACAATTTGGAAGGAAAAATTAGTTCATAACATTATAAAAAAAAAAAAAGCAAATATCTGTAAACCTCCTAACCAGTCTGTACCATTTAAATTATATTTGCAAGCTGAATATGAGTATTCTATCTATTATCCTGTTCTAAACAGCAACGGCCATCTGTCCAGGGGACAGAAGCAGAGCCACATTAGAGTAAGTTTTGGGCTCTGCATAGCTTTACCTCCCTTCCTCCTGCATTCTCTGACCTGCCTTCTCTCAGAGGTTACCAACCTCTCTGCAGGTGTACAAAACAACAAGTGTAGTGCCTAAGGCATTTGACTGCTAACCAGAAGGCTGGTGGTTCAAACCTACCAGCCACTCCTCAGAAGGAAGATTGGGCAATCTACTTCCGTAGAGATGCTGCCTCGGAAACTCAAGGAGGGGTCGCTATGAGTCAGATCCGACTCGACGGTAGTGAGTTTTGTTTTGTTTTTTCGTATAAAGTGGTGACTTTAAAATATAGGAAATCAGTAGTACAAAAAAAATAGTTTTATCCTCCTTAGGTATAAAAGACTAAATACAAAATAGAAAGAAAAACTTCCACCTTAAAATGTAATCCTAAATATCCTTTTTTGGGTTCTTGTGCTCCTCACCTCCATTTCAGTGTTTCCCTAAATCTTCAGATTGGTGGACACACGTGGTTCTTTACATTTCCTAGGGGGAAGGGTTATTATTTCTCTTCACAGCTGAGGACTGAGAAGAACTTGGAACTGTGGTAGAAAAGGTTGACATTTTTAAATGTATAGAAGTCAGAAAAAATTATAGTTATGGTTCCCAAAAGACTAAACTACTGGTATATATTATATACACTGAATTTATATACTACCAGCAAAACAATGACTTGAGTATGCTATGTGCCAAAGAGGCAAACAGCAAATTTTATGTAAGCCATAACTCTAAATTTCTTGATACTGTGCATTTAAAATTTCAATCTTGAAGCATTATTTCAAAATTTTAAAAGAACTGATATATTCCCTTTTATGTATAGGCAATTGTGGTTATGTCACCACAGTTGTTAGGTATTTAAATTAAGCATAACATCAGTTTAAAACACCGTAAAATAAATAGAACAATAAGTAAGTTAACCTCCACTTTTATCTAGATTCACCAACTGTAGAGTGTATACATTTTCCCTAGGAGTGTTGATGGATGTGCCCGGATCCAGTCACATTTCCTGACGCAAACATCTTGCTCTACACAGTCATATGTGTACCTGGCCAATACCCAAGGCAAGCATTCAATAGTGAAGTATGTGGCATGACAGAGCTAACTGGAATGTGTAAACCATAGGCTCATTAGCATTTCACTCCAAGCCCAAATTACTATCCATTTTCATTTCCTAAATGATTTAGGACCTTATAGAAGGGGCTATAGCTATTAAGTGAGTTACAATTATATTCTAATGGGTTTTAGAACAAAGATTCTTAGATCCATGGACTGGTCGGATAAGGCAATAATATCACAAATTTAAATGAACTGGCAATCACCTCCTGTTCTCAACTCTTTTGTTCTAAGTAATTCCTCCTTTCTAAAATAAGAGTCACAACGTTTACACTACTTTCTGGCATGGTTCTTCAGTAACCTAAGCAAAGTACAAGGAGATGGGAAAAACAATAATTTGCATAATATTGTCATCTATTAGAGATTAAAATACATGAAAACAGAAAATTAATCTTAAAACTGAAAAATATCCATTGTCCTAACAGGTATCATGGGAGCTCTGGTAGCATCGTGCCTAAGGGACTTGACTGCTAATCAGGAGGCTGGTGGTTCAAACCCACTAGCCACTCCTCGGAAGGAAGGTTGGGCAATCTTCTTCTGTAGTGATATTGCCTCAGAAACCCAAGGAGGGGTTGCTAAGAATCGAGTCCGACTCAACGGCACATAACAACAACAACCGCGGGTATCACTACTGTGACTGATTATACTTTCTGAACATAAGATTAAATTCTATGAATCAATCATATAAGAAAATCATCTTTCATTACTAGAAAATTCAATCTCTTCGCCTGATTTAAATCTTATATTTGACCTTTCTGGTTAAAAATGTCAGGTGATTAAAAAGGATAAACATTTTGTATCTGGAGATACATTCTTTATTCAAATTCATTAATTAGCAACATGGGCTGAACTCAAACTGAAAAGCATAAGAAAATTATTTTCTCAGTGTCTTTCAAGTAGCCCAATAAAAAGAGCATGGGTTTTAGAGCCAGAATGATCTGACTTTACATCCTAGCTGGGTCTCTTGCTAGCTGTGAAGTTAGTGAAATGTATTTTGCAGAGTTGAGAAGTGTCCAGAATATGGTTGGCCCTTAATAAATGGTACTTACTGTTGTTATTATAGAAAGGAAATAGAAAGACATTGTTTATGTATTTGACATAATTCATAAAGCTCTGCATTAATTATATAATGCTCCTGCATAATGATCACAAGATAATGTAATCTCTTAGCAAAATCACTGATGCATGTCATGTAATTATTTCTCCTAAGTGGGCTACCTGTATTAATGTGTAATACTCACAACTCTATTTATTATTCTCATTCTACAAATAAGGAAACTGAGGCACAAGGAGGTTAAGCGATTTGTTCAAAGTCACACAGCAGAGTCAGGACCCAATCCCTGGCAATATGACTGCAGAGCTTCTGACCACTCAATTACAAAGCCTGGAAATAATATTACTGTAAGATAATGGCCCCTTACTCAACACATATGAATGTGTTACATTCTGTGCTAGGCACTAGTATCCAAAACTTTATCAAGACACAGAATCTATAACCTTTAAGAAACTTACAATATGGAGGCTATAAGCAATTACACTGCTTCCAAATTATGACTCAAAAGTCATGATATTTCTCCAGATTAAAAAATAAAGTTCTCTTTGTGTTCCTGTTATTTAATAACCATACAATTCTAAACTTATGGTAAAACCATAACTTACTTGCAGAAATAATCAGGGCTTCTTTAACTTCTGCATCATGTGAATGAAATTCTTACTGCACTTTGTTCATCTTTACATCAACATCTTTTAATAACAGACAGAAAAATATTTTTCTGTAATTGCTATAGTGTGCCTAACATGTTATTACGAAAATGGGCCACAAAAAGAAGTTCTGATCATTAAAAATACTGTAAATTTGATTAAGATGTACATCAATGTTAAAAACAAGTGAAAAAAACCAGCAAAGGAAACTAGATAAGGAGAGTCCTATTTAGGTCCACAGAGATAGAACAATGATTCTATGACTAGATATCTAGATTTCCTTCCTCCATTCTTTTTGTCTTTTCCTTCCTAGTCCTCCTCTTGTAGTCTCGATCTTTATTTTTCACTCTCTAAAATACACAAATAGCCAAACAGGCATGCTTCTAACTCCCTGAAAATATATTCTGAGCTTTAAAAATAGGAAAAGAATAGTTATGTTATAAAAACCAAAAAGCAATAGTGGATAATGTGTAATGTACATAAAATAAAGTGACACTGTTTAAGGAAAATGCTACTTATTGCCATTTTAGACATTTTGTTTGTTTGTTTCAAAGAACTATACTACTACATACTACTAAATAATGATGTAAATTAGAATTGGACCAATAGTCTAACAGTAGTAGGTTCTGCCTTTTATCCCTCTTATGGGAAAACAAGTTGTTCAGAAGCCAATAGGGTTAGAAAAAGGAATGGAATTATTTTCATTCAGCTCAGCTTGGGTGAAGGTTATTCTGAAGAAGTATGATTTCCAACCCCCCCCCTCATAATTTTGTAATAAGTAATTGAGAAGGGATCAGAGAGCAATTAGTTTAGCAAGATGAAAATCAAATGGAAAAGATGTAGTGATTGACCTTTTAGTATGAAAATATTGGTTTTGCAAGTAACATCAGTCTGGATATGAATGACATTTCCCTGGCTGCTTTTACAAAGGAGCAATGCTCTCAGTAGACCACACAGTGCTCACCTGATTCTGTCTGTCTTCTGGCAACCCCCGGCATATGGCTGAAACTTGCAGGAATTCCCCCAGATTTGGTTACTTCCTGTCCCTCCTTTTTATTGATTGTCTGCAATCCCCTCAGTTAAAAACTTGCATCCTTTATGTTTTTGAAGTTTATTTAGTGCTGTGATACTAGCAGTGCTGTTGTGGGATCTTGATTTTTTAAAAAAAGAGAAAGTCTGAAAGTGCCTTGTAGTCAAGTTTCAGGTGCCCTGATTGAATCTCTCATTTGCTTATGTACAGAACAATTTTACATTTGCTTTTTATTTTCCTTTGTTGGCTTGAAACTCCCTGGAGACAGAAAACTGTAGAGAATCATCTTTTAGAGTTATTGCCTAATAATTGGCATTTAATTCAAATCATGTCTTATTGGGGGTTATAGCTAACATTCCAACGTCCATTTCCTTCTTGATTCCTTCATTGTGGGATGACATCATGATTTCTGTAGTAAAAAAATATTCATTTTGTGACTCATTTCACCACCTCAGATTTTCAGGCTTAACTTTATTTGTGCGGTATATTCAAACAGTGGCTTTCCTTATGAAATCATGTAAGTAGGAACCATCTGGAAAGGTTACTGTGGAAACGGCAGGGGCTGGGGGTGTGGCTAGAGAGCAAAAGATGCCATGACAACCTTTTTCGGGTTTCCCAGGAAACATGAGTTGCTATGGGAACTGCATCAGTCAGGTCCGAATTAGTAACTTCCGCTGGAAGGGGTGTCTGCCACTTTAATCTTCTTGTGCTACTGCAGAAGCTTATCTCTCAGATGCATTAGGAAATTTTTTGTTTCTCTCAGCAGCACTGAAAACATTTGTTTCTAGAGTTTGGTAGCTGTTGGCTGGGACACATGCACAGAACTTTGTGGGAATTAACTGCTAAACTAATACTTTCAAAATACTTAACAAAAGTCAAGAAGAGTTAAACTAAATTAGTCAGATCAGGACATCTTGGGCATTTCCCTTTGTTCAAAGTTGTAGAAACCCTTAAAATTCTGGGAGGAGGAAGGCTCAAATAGAAATTCCAGTCAAAAACCAAATAAACTTATGGTGAGTTTACAAGTCATCATTCTAATTAGACTTTCCATCTACATATCCACATGGTAAGCAATAAGCTAAATATTCAATAAATAATGTTAGTGGGTCCACCCAATTGAAGCATCATTTGAGTACCTGTCTGCTTTACTCAGTAAAGAAAACCCACCTTCTGAGGTTAAACTGTTACTCTAACTGTTCTTTAGTTTCATTTCCCCCCCAGGATGTACTATGTTTTTTATAAGGGCGTGTACTAGAAATCAAGTTCCAAATAACAGTTTGTTGTTGGCAACATTAAGAGAGCAGGAGATAAAAGGGGGGGAGGAAAAAAAAAAGGAGAGCTGAGAGAATGCAGCCCACTTGCAAAACAGACACCTGTTTCAGTATGAAGCAGTAGGGAAAGGGAGAATGAAGTGCGTTTTCCACTTCCTAGTGTTCTTGCCTTGAGGAATGGTCTGGAAATGTATAAAACAAGGGCATACACAGACCAAGGGGGCACATGTCACACAATACTGAGCACAGTATGTCACTTGTATCATATATTAAACATCGGTGAATATCTTCTTGATGTTGACACAGGAGTTAGGGTTATTGTTCGTGGTGCAGGTGGCAGTGGAATTACCCGTCTTGAAAGGGGTCTGCGGGAAGGTGCTGTGGTTCATACTCCCCTCTTCGATCACCATATACTCCGACTTACTCAGAGTGGAGTTACTCCTTGTTTTTCGGAGCTCCTCGGCTGAAGATGAGAGGTGCTGGCAACTCCCCACGTGCATGTACTGGGCTTGCTCTTCACCTTCTGTCTCGCGGTGGTAGAAATAATTGAAGTTGGAAACAATCACAGGAACTGGCAAAGCAATGGTCAAGACACCAGCGATGGCACAGAGTGATCCCACAATCTTGCCCCCTATGGTCACTGGGTGCATATCACCATAACCTACTGTTGTCATGGTTACCACTGCCCACCAGAAGGCATCCGGGATACTGCTAAAACCCGAAGTGGGGTCGTCTGCCTCGGCAAAGTAGACTGCACTGGAAAAAAGGATGACCCCGATAAAGAGGAAGAAGATAAGCAACCCCAGCTCTCGCATGGAAGCCTTCAGCGTCTGCCCCAGGATCTGTAACCCCTTGGAGTGGCGGGAGAGCTTGAAGATGCGGAAGACCCTCACGAGGCGGATGACCCTCAGGATGGCCAGGGACATGGCCTGTTGTCCATTGCCCTGTCGCTCAGCCAGCTCGGTGCCCAGAGTGATGAAATAAGGGATGATGGCCACTATGTCTATCAGGTTCATGATATTTCGAGAGAAGGTGGCTTTACTGGGGCAAGCAAAGAATCGCACCAGAAGCTCAAAGGAGAACCAGATAATGCACAGGGTCTCCACCACGAAGAAGGGATCCGAGAAGCTGGAGGCTCCCGCGGGGGTGCCCGACGTACCGTTGTTGGCCGCCTCGAAAAGGTCCTGCGACGGCGAGGCGGGGTAGTCCTTCTCGTCGCGGAACTCGGGCAGCGTCTCCAAGCAGAAGATGACAATGGAGATGAGGATGACGAGCACGGATACGATGGCGATGCCCCGGGCCGGCCCAGAGCTCTCCGGGTACTCGAAGAGCAGCCACACCTGGCGCTGGAAGTCGCGCCGGGGCAAGGGCCGCTCCTCCTCCCGCAGGAAGCCTTCGTCCTCGCGGAATTTCTCCATAGCCTCCTCGCCCAGCTGGTAGAAGCGGATCTCCTCGGAGAAGATGTCGATGGGCACGTTGACCGGGCGGCGGATGCGGCCCCCGGACTGATAGTAGTAGAGGATGGCGTCGAAGCTGGGTCGGTTGCGGTCGAAGAAGTACTCATTGCGGAGCGGGTCGAAGTACCTCATGCGCCGCTTGGGGTCGCCCAGCAGCGTCTCCGGGAACTGGCACAGGGTCTTGAGCTGAGTCTCGAAGCGCAGCCCGGAGATGTTGATCACCACGCGCTCTCCGCAGCAGTCCTGCTCGCCGGCGGCCGGCAGCGCGGGCGGCAGCGGCTCGTAGCGGTCGCAG